CAAACCATGCCAGAGGACTCGAACTAGATAAACTAGCGAATTTCTAGCAGAAACAAGCGCGACGCTCTTGTCATTTTGACGACTTCCTTTACTTCCAAATCATCCCAAAGTCTATTTAATTAATGAGGACTGCTTTAGGTTTCCTTATTAAGAAGTAAAATATTACATCAGGTGAGGAAATGAGCGGGAAACTTCCTAAGTACATACCGCATGTTTCAAGCACGCAGTCAAGTAATGTGTTGTTAGCAAGCACAAGGCAGTGAAATTAAATGCAAAGGTTATGGATTCTAGAGTTTCTAGGATTCAGATGTGGCGAGGAAAAAAAACATTTTCCTCGAAACACGGTATTTGGGCATTTTTTACAAAAAAAGGGCGTGGCCGCAATGCATCACAGGTAATATAAAATTTGCTTGAAATGCGCCCGAATCGACCGAAATAACACAATTTCAAGATAGGAACCAATTTCCTTCACTTTCTGACTTATTTCTAATAAGAATTGATTCTTAAATAAATTTTTCAATTTTACCCCAATGTTACACTTTTGTACATTAGAACTGTGCTACTGATCAACAGCTTCTGTGGTACTTCCTGTAATGCATTCCTCTCAACACGATGTGGCGATATTCTCGTGAAACAACAGGGTAATCGTAAAGCTGACTGGAATTCATCTCAGGTAAATTACGGAGATTGCTCGCCCATCCAAGGGCTGAAATCCTTATGATAGTTACTTCGTATCTGAAGTCGCTCTGGTTTTGTTCTAGGTCCTGGACATCTGTAAGAAGTTCTCGGTTTTCTCCACTACTCGATGGAAGGACGTGTCACATCAACAAAGCATAAACTTTCAACACTAAGTCGGCTCTAACTCGTCGATTTTAAATTAGATTTTAAGATCTCCCTGAGATCTTTTGCTTCGAGTTTCTGGATGTCATCTAATGACGAAATTTTCATATTTTTTTGTTCAAGAATTATTTTGAAGGGAGAAATCGCATTGAAAAGTGCATTAGTTCGTGAAATGTCAGCAGATCAGCTGTTTGAAAGAACCGCCGGGTCAACCCTAGCCTCATTATCGTGTGTGCGCGGTTACTAATCCAACATGGCGCCGGGAACTGTAAAAAGGTCAATTAATATTCAGTGATGGCTAATCTAATATATAGATTTAGCCAAGCCTAAAAGCGGAGCTCGCATATTTTTCCCCACACGTCTCCTCAACAAAACTAAAGCCCCTACTATGGTAAAATGGGGGCCAAAACGAGTGAGTCCAGTTTGGTACTGGCTTAGGGGGCTTAGGGGGCTTAGGGGGCTGTTTTTGGCACCAATTTTGGGGCTGAATCGACCCAATTGTAGGGGCCAAATTGAACCATGTGAAGGGTGAACTTGAAAAATATTGGAGCCACTTTGAAATTTAAAGGGGCCAAAACAGCCCCCAAAATTTCAGCCCTCTCACAAATGGCCCCTTTTTTTATTTTTTTATTTCTCGCTTTGTTGATTTTGTTTTTTGTCATCTTTTTATTTACACCACTTTCTGCTCTTTTACGTGATTTTGTACCTTATTCTAGGGTAGTCACCTGTAATTACGTAATCACTAGCACCTCGATCTTATTTAAAGTTATTTCTCGCTTTGTTGATTTTGTTTTTTGTCATCTTTTTATTTACACCACTTTCTGCTCTTTTACGTGATTTTGTACCTTATTCTAGGGTAGTCACCTGTAATTACGTAATCACTAGCACCTCGATCTTATTTAAAGCTCTTTTTTATTCAAAAGTTGCAAATAACCGAAGAAGGTCTCCGACCGAAACGTTTTTATTAAATTTTTTATCTTTTTTACGTCAGAAGTTGTCCATCCTCGCATTTTTTAACTCTCTACGATCGTGTTTGCTGTGAGTTTTGGACTGCGAATCTTTTTTGATCCTCCTGGCGCGGTGCACCTTTGTTGGCCTGAGAGATCTAGTAACAATTTTATATTTTAGTAACAATTTTATATATATATATTTAACATTTAAGTAAAATTAAATGAGGCGAAATTGACCAACTAAACCCGGCAGACTAGCCAATAATTTTGATGCTCCTTTGCACTTTGGCTTGTTTTTAATATGGTTGTAAAATTTGTTTTTATTGCAGAGAGAAGCTGATGCTAAGGTTGCATTTTGGATTTGACCATGTATATTATGTTGTGACGAGAACATCTGAACATCATCAATTTGTGATAAACCGATTTTAGAATAACTGTTTCGCTGGTTTCTTTGACAAGATTTTGATGTGCAGCTCAAGATCGTATTCAAGTTTTTTTTAAATATAATTTTATAATGATTTGCTGCAGCCGTACTGTTTTACTTGCACCTGTTCACACTTAAATGAAAACGATATTCCCTTTTTATAAGAAATGACGGTTTTTTTCTCCCGGTGTTTCGATCAGGAGACCAAAAAACCTTTTTTCCATGAGAACTAACGGTTACTGAATGTTCCTTTAAAATGTTGTGTGCGATAAGCTTTTTAGACGAATGGGTGAGGGAAATGGCGAAACGTAGGAGGGAATGTCGAGAATACACTTCAAAGACTGTGTGGATCAAAACGAAAGCAGTTGGTTTATCATAAATGCAAACGTTGTACCTAATTTTCATTTTATCAATATGTGATAATCAAAATAGACGAGCCGACTTACTCAAAGAGCGTTTACTCTGCGAGAATGGATCGAAGGCACAATTTTAATTATAAATCAGCTATTCTATCATGTTCTTAACAATTTTGCATGTTCTTAATTAACATGTTTTTAATTTTAAGTTTCCCTGCAGTTAGGCGTGTGAGTGGAATTGTTTCTGCAAGAGGTTTGCTAGTCCATTCAAGTTTATG